TTTTTTGCCTCCCACCTTGCAAGGACGAGCCCGCACTGCAGGGTACAGGCTCGCCCTAGCAGTCCTAGCAAGGTACTCGACCCCTTGCAACCTCAGGCCCCGGAAAGCGGAACGTAAGGTGAATGGCGGCCATGGCGTATGCCCGCGGAAGCAACTCGACACCGCCGCCTTCTGCCGGGCGTTTATCGAGCCCCTCGTCGCCGCTCGCCCCAGCAAGGCCTCGAAAACTTAAAGGACATAGCACAGTATAATTAATATAATAGTAATATAATGCAGTCTGGAGGACGCACCTGATGCAATAGTTTGCCGTTTAGTAAATAGGCTACTGGGCACCCCGCAGCGATCAGCATTGCCGCTTGTCTAGCTGCAAGCTTGGGGCCTCGGAGAACAGCACCATTCAGTGGGTAGCTTCGGAGATGAGCCGTCGCACAGGTTTGACACGCGAGGCTCGATCTGCCGAGGATCCTGAAACGAGAATGAGACGGCAACCTGAGCCAGTGCCGAAGCCATCTGCGCCTTGCGGCGGATCGTTATCCATGCACGCCGGCTCTTGGCTCTTGCGGTCTTGTAGCCAATACGAAGTTTGACTGCTCTGTGGTCTGCCCAGCCTTCTGCACCGAGTTGCTCAATCTTGATTTGTGCGCCGGTGTCGGCACGGATTGTGCCTCAACTATTGCTTCACACGGTCAGCAAGCTCCCTGCGCAATACTGTTCCTCCAAATGTCCTGCAAAAGCAACTGCAAGCAACCATCGATAGCCAGAAGCTTCCATATGCAGCCTTTGGCCTACATCGGCTCGGCCTTCGCGCTCAGAGTGCCTGCAACCGAGCTTCTGAGGTGACCCTCTTCCACCCCACAGCCCGGAGGTGCCAGGAGCTGCGTTTCACGCGGGGCACCGGCGGGCAACTCCTGCAGGGCTTGCCCGAATCTGCCCTCTGTTTGCCGATGGTTACATCATAGTCTCCTGTTGCATATTGGAGTAGATTATAGCCGATTCCGGGAGCTGTCAGAACGATTCACCGAACTGCAACGGCACCGGTATTCAGTGCCATGTTCGAAATTCGAAAAGACTGCCCTGTCCACTCATGCATCCAGCTTCGAAGCCTCTGCGTACTCACAATTAGAGCAGTGACATGTCCAACATGCACCTGCAACAAGCAAAATTGTCCATGATGTTCGCAAGGTGCGTTGTCACACTCGTGCTGCTATCCGGGCAGGTCTGCTTACATAAGTCAAGTCAATCCTAGCCAGCCCGAAGGGTTGTAGACTCGAAGATAGAAAAACCGAAAATACGTAATAGCCAATGATACAACCAGAACAAGAAATATTATACTACATTTACAATTACCATGCAATCCTTTGCTCTGCTATACTCTACTCTACGATACTCTGCTATGCTATGCTAAACTACACTGCGCTACACTTGGTCAGCACAGGTCCTCGACCGTTTCTAACAGCCTCGGCAACAGGTGAGTGCCAGCCAGGCAGTACCCAAAGCTGCAAGTACGTCGCAACACTCGGATTTCCTTTGAATGCGTTGGCCAGTGCCTTTACCTTATAATGCTGCCCGTGATAAAGCGGGATGAGAGAATTAGGGTTTAGGGTTTAGGGATCTATAGTAAATAAAAATATGATTACCTTATAATGGTAACTTAATTTTTGTCCGGAGGGCGTTTTGGACAGTCCATGCGCACAGTGCACGGAACCGTCAGCCACGATTGAGCCCCTTCTGCCATGCAAGTATGCATCCAATGACCTGCTATCTTTAGGAAACCCACTTTGCCAAAGATCATGGCGTCCCACCTAAAGAACACTGAAGGCAAAATGTTATGATCATTCATTTTGATCATAGTCGTTCTGGGATACGGTGTTGACATGCAAAATCCGATTCATCCTGACTTGTTGGCACCCAGCCCCTTGAAGTTCCAGTCAAGGCACAGCTCAACCGCAGACTTGCGCTGGTCAGCTTCACCCCGCAACTCAACCAATCGAAGGGGCCCGCCATTCCTCCAGGGTTCGTGGCTCTCTTCGACTCGCAAGCTCACTCAGCAAAGCCAGGCAAGGCAACTAGGGCAGGACGAGTACAAACCCACCCGACTTGACGTAAGTACAGTTAATTTCGATGCCTGAATGTCCGGCCTTACTCACACCAGGGCTCTCTCTCACAAAGACCCACACCAGGGCTGAACGCCTGATCTGCACAGGAATTCTGCGTCGTCTTGCCGCGGTGTTCTCATTCATTCTCCCCTACTTGTCAAGCACTGGCTCAAACTTATGTCCAACTGCGCAGCAGCTGCGTCTCGTAAATGTCCCCAGAAGGCCCCCACTGTCACGTTCCAGCTAACAGCTTGACATCAGTCCGTGGCTCTATCAACGTTGTGTTTCGCTCATCCTGGCGTCGCGAGTCATCTCAACACGGATGCGCAGCTCTACATTCTACATGCGGGGCCGCAGGTAACACCCCAGCAGTGTGTACATGGGGCGCGCCTGCCGAGGCTGCACAAAATTCCATGCCAAAGCGGGGCTCAAGAAGAATAATTAGACTAAGAGATGGTCAGAGACATCGCACGTGCCTGACAGACAGACCACCTGGCAGTCTTTAAAACTCACAGCGCCAGCCGGCTGCCAGGTAACAGGGTCATTTCAGGATACTTCAGGCCTCCACATGCCACATCTTGACAGAAGTCTCGTAAGGGACGTAGAACGGATTCATCACGTCGGCGTCGTGCGCCTCCTCCAACGTATTAATCCAGGGGTGGCCACCGCGAGTAGTTGCGACGTGCTCGGAGGCAATGTTGTGTCCAAGGTTCCAGTATCGCGCATGCTCCTCGCCATCCGTACTCTGAGGTGGGAGACCGACCACCGAGAGTATGCCCACTGTGAAGAAGCCACAGCAGTCGTTGCACCAGAAGTTCTCTGACAGGTGGCTTGCCAGGGCTGTCGAGGCTTCCACAGCGTTGCGGCACATCGGGGAGGGCTGGTTGTGCATCGCGAAATGTATAAGGCTCCACAAAAGGTTTGGTCGGTGAGTCCAGGACCCCACCAGAGCCAGCGCCTCTGCAATTCGGCCATCGCTTCCCTCTCCGGCTGCACACTCCTCCGGACTCAACGCGACAAGGTCGATGCCCGTCTGGTGCCACATACTCGCATAAAGCTCGTCCAGCGTCGGGCACTCTCCTACGAGATGTGCAGGCCAAAGCGCCTTGAAGATGTTGTGGGTGACCTTCCTGACCTCCGCTGTCAAGCGGCCCATGGGACCCGTCCAATACTTGCAAGTCATGGCTGAGGCCACCTCTCCTGGGAAAATTAGGAACGCAGTCTGCAAGGACTCCAGCGCCCACTCTGCGCTCATTCCCGGTGTTTGCAGCGAGGTGCGTGGGCAGCGGGAGCTGTCCCACCAGGGCCCAGCATAGCACACGTCTGGGGGCCGCTCTTTGACGCAAGTGGAGGGCAGCACATCGAAGCCGGGTCCTGTGCAGACGAGGCCAGGTGCACAAGCAAGCGGCCGTTCCAGGGTGCCCCCGTTTGGGGCTGTTCCGCTTCGGGCTCGCCGCACAAACGCACTGGCGAAGGGTCCAGAGGTAGAGAGTGTGGGGATGCAGCTCTGGCCTTCCAAGCGATACTTGACGCAGCGGCCGCGAGAGGTCTTCCAAACCCGGTGTTTCGAGTAATTCTGAAGCTGGATGCCGTTGGCCACACCCACGGTCGAGCTACGGCAAATCTTGTCCCGAGTCAACTTCAGTGCTTCCAGGGTCACGTTCCGGACATCGCTCTGAGATGCAATCGCCTCGATTTCCGCATAGTAGGACTCTCCGCACAACCCGAAGTTAGGAGTGTGCCCACCTGTGCCCATGGCCCAAGAACCCCACTTCTCATGCGTGGTGACCATGCACCACTCATCCGCTGCGCAGGCGTTGCGATCAAAGAAGCAATCCACAACGGGTGGGATGGGGCACTCCCAGTTGTCACAGTGCATCTTGATGAGATCGCCTCTCCGAGCCACACGCGCCCGATTTCCGTCGACATACACGAGGTCTGTGGAGGCTCGGCTGCAAGCCGTTGTAAAGGGATTGGTGTACCACATCTTCCCAGCAGCACCGTTGTACTTCTCCTGTCCACACCACACCGGTGCCAAGCTGGTGTCGTTCTCGGCTGTGAGCACTCGACCTCCCAAGGCCAAGGCCTTGCCTGCTTCCAGCCCTTGCAGAGCGCGTGCCTTCCGCACGGAAGGAGAAGCCAAGGCCCAGTAATCGCTGGGTGATGCCAAGCATACCACAAGGAGGGCAAAGACTGCCAGCAGCGACATCGTAGCTCGCCTGGACCTTGAAATAAACAGACTGCCCTGTGGCCCAGGTGTGCTAATACAATCTCTTGAGCCGAAGCTCGGGTGAACTCGCCATCAGGTTCAGAATTGGAAACGATTGCAGGAGCTTAGCAACGGGCGTTGAAGCTGACTTTGCGGGGTGTCTGGGAGATCCACTGCTATGTACAGAGGTTTAAAGAAGTGCCGAAAATATGAAGCACCCCGCCGTCAACACCAAACCGACGCGTCAGGCCTTGCAACCTCCACAGCAGCCCCCGACTTTGTCCGGATCTCAGAAACCTTCGTGGTGTTTGCATCTACCGCGGCAGTCTGCAAAATGAAATCTGACATGTCTGCACTGCACTGCTTGTGGTATTTCTGTGCACGAAGCCCGTCGGCTGGAGAATTGCCTAAGCCTGATACTCAACGAGCAACGACCCAAGAGCACGTCCTACTAAAGAGATCGCACACTCGTTAAGCCGCGCTGCGGTCCGACCCGAGCGGCCAACGATCCATGCAGCTGCAGATGCTGAAACGACAAACCTGAAAGGAAGCGCAACAATCGAACGAAGAAGAGCTGCCAGTGTCGCGGACGCTAAGGCGCATTCCGACAATCGACAACAAGCACAATCCAAACATGGACCGACGAGCCGCAGCACTGATGAAATGCCCGTGTCGCTGGTCGGCCTCAGTTCGCCAGGCCCTGCAACCATGAATTTAGTCGGCCCTCTGTCATAAGTAGAGCCGTTAGAGGTGCATGCATGCACCGTCAGCGCGGGTCGTCTGAGTAGCCAGCAATTCGGGCAACAGCTCGGGGGGGATTTCCTCGGCATCGCCATCGACTGACCGACCTTGTTCCATACTCAACTTGAAAGCCGGTGTGTGGTTTACATCCTGGCCACAGCTCCCAGCGGGAGCCTTCAGCAAGCAACCACGGCTAGTCTAGCCAGGTCGTGACGTACTGCCGCAAACTTTGCTCTAAGGTCGGAGCCTCGCATCGGGGTCGAGCTCCTCATGGTCAAGCTAACACACGAACGCATGCTTGCTTGAGTAGGTCAGCGCGCGGACAGTTTGTACCTCTCCTTAATTTGCTTCGTTGGAATTGGGTTAGAGCTTATCGTCGCTTCCGCCAAGTCCACATAGCTCACCATCTGTTCTGATCACATTGCGCACTTGTGTGGATCTCGAAAGGCTTCCTATGAACAGCTTGGAACCGTTGCAACAATTTTGAATCGGGCTTGCCGCGTCGCCCACCGCTTCAACCCTTCAACCCTCAAGTCAAAGGGCTCGGCATCAGCCTCCCTAACCCAGTCCCATACCTCAAAGCCCTAAACTCTGACGCCCCAAGAAGTCCTAAACTCCAGAGCCCTAGCCCTAGACTCTCGACCCTCTCCTTGAGACGGTCCGGGACACACTCCGAAGTTGCCCCACGCTCGGGCTTCGCCGTGGAGGCCAGGTCGAGGAGCTGAGCAGAGGAAGCATAGCATGGGGTCTTTCAGCGTGTTTTCTTGAGGCCCGCACTCAATGGTAAGACCGCCTTGGTCCGCTAGTTCCTGATCGGGTTGCGCAGCATTGGGCTGTCACGTCCAGGTAACCTTTTCTTCTGGATGTCATGTAGCGGGGATGCAAGCAGTCTTGGGGGGTTCAAGCTTCAGCAAAATCGCAATCGACGCTTTCTACCACCTGTTCGCTCTGCTTGAGCTGTCCTGAACCAGGCCGAGAACACGCATGCACGCAATGAGCATGTTCTTGGGAGTGCCTCACAGCTTTGAAGCTTTGACGGAGGGATCTGGAAGAAGCTAAACGGGCAAACCACAACTTTTCATTTTTTCCTCTACATGCCAACCCTCTTGTAAGCTCTCAAACCAGCGACGGGCTCTTTCCGCTTCTTGTCAGCTGACTCAACGCCATAAGCCGACACGAACTGACAGAAGTTACACACGAACGCCCGAAGAAAGCAGTGCTGATCCTTGGTTCTCCTATGAAACTCTGCCTGCGATGCTGACGGGTTGAAGCTCCGTCCCCGCAATGGCATGGCGACCTTAGGACTAATCGAAAACCTCGAAACCTAAACCGTAGGTGAAGCCAGGTTTGAGTGCGCTGGGGCTCGCTCACATGCTGGCACAAAGGCCCGGCAGGTACTGCAAAGCAGTTAGAACACCGACAGGTTGATAGTTGGATACGACATAGGTGCTTCTGCATAGCTGAGGTGTTAAACGTAACAAAACATGAAAACACTTAGACTCAGACCACAGACAGGAGGAGACATGCTGTCCAGGAGCTGATATTGATCTCTGACGATGTGCTCTCCACCAGCTTCTCGATGGTGTCACCACCAGGTCCTATGATGTGCTCCACCTAAGTTTTCGTCTTCAGGCTAGGCTAAGGGTTCAGGTTAGGCTCCCGTCTTACTTCTGCGAGACCCTCACATCATCCGAAGTGACGAGAAACAGTATGTAATGTCAGTAAAACGGTGTGGCAGGAGAGCGCAAAGCCTCTGCATGCAAGTCATGTGCTTACAGGCAAAATCTGGTAGAAGTCCTGACAAGAGCACAGAACATCACAATATCAGTATCAACTTGCTGGCAAATGGCGGCACCCGCAGGAACCACTGTGACCTGGTGCATGGGTGTTCCCATGACATGGAATCCAATTTATCATGCAACAAGTCACAGAAGAGAACCAATAAATCGCGCTGATCCTCGTTCCTGCACAAAACTTCATGAAGTGTTTTTTTCTCCAGCTTCGCTACCCGTGTCAGTTGAGGCCGCAACGAACACGCCGTGTTCGGAATCGTCCAACTCTTGCGACCGATGGACAATCCGAATCACCTCCGTGGCTGCACAAATGCCCAACAGCAATTTGACACATGCATGGCTTTCTGCACCTCAGACCTTCTAGACCATGACCGGAAAAATCACACGGCCACGCCCACACACACACTAGGCCTGCATGAAATCACAGGCAATCGTGCCTCTCGGCAGGCTTTCTCGATCTGCTCAGGGTCGCCCTGAATGGTGACAATTCCTTGACTGTGTCAGCTCACAATGGCTAACATCCTGACAGCACGGCCATTCAACACAAATGGTTCAATAAGGTCCCCTCACAGAAGCATATGCAAAAGCAAGGGCGTGATGAAGTCTTCGAAGGCTCGGTCTGTCAGTGCTCGAGGCGTATCCCGATCACCGGAGACATTCCTTAGTTCAGCATCAAAAATGAAAGCATCCCATCTGCAGGACCCCTTGAGTTGCACACCCGCAGGTGTTGCCGGCATTCTCACAACCACCGACGGCTACAGCAAAATCACCACCATCAAAAATCAGGAACAGCAACACCAACAGCAACAACCACAATCCGCGATAACCACAACAACAACAAAACCACAGCAACAGGAACAGCAACAGCAACAGCAAGAGCAAACACCAACACCGGCAGCAGCAGCAGCAACAACAACTACTAACGTCCTCCTCCTCCTGCTGCTACTACTACTACTACTACTACTACTACTACTAAGAGCGTAGTGCATAATTGACGCCATGTTTTTCCTTACTTTACATGCCTAAAACTCGGGTTTTAAGCACATTTTACCAATTCTTGGGGGGGCGCCCTTTTCTGGAAACCTTCCTTTGGGAGTTGTGTCTTTCGGTTTTGGGCTTCAGGTTCAGGGTGGAGGTGTCTGGCCTGAGGGTTCAGTTCTAATATATAAGAATGAGTTCTTGGAATTCCAGGAGTTCTTGTATTATTCCTTCAGTCTTTTACTTTGGCTTGGCTT